TGGATGTAAATTTTAAAAAAGAAAAAAGAAAATTAAAAAAAAAAGAAAAAATATCAATAAAGCAAAAAAAAAACAAAAACAAAAAAACAAAACATGGGCTTTGTGACCTAGCTTCTCCCCTTAATGGCCATATAACTTCAGGCAATTTGTCGTCTTCCCTCTAAAAATGGACTTATTTTGGGGCACCTGGGTGGCTCAGTTGGTTAAGCGTCTGACCTGTGGTTTCAGCTCAGGTCATAATCTCACAGTTTCATGAGTTCAGGCCCTGCATCAGGCTCTGTGCTGGCTGCTGGTCGCCTGCTTGAGATTCTCTCCCTCTCTCTGCCCCTCCCCCACTGGTGCTGTCTCGGTCTCTCTCCAAATAAACTTAAAAAAAGTTTAAATCAAAATGGAGTTATTGTGAATAATGGAATTATCGTGGATTAGGTAATGCAAAGTGCTAGGACAACGTCTGACACACGGTAAGCACTCAAAAAATCGTACCCAACACCAGAGGTTTAACTTTCCTTTGACTTCATATCACCCTGTAGACACTAACCTACTTCTTAGCTCTTCTTTACAGCAAAACTCCTTGAGGGGCGTCTGGGTGGCTCAGTCGGTTGGGCGTCTGACTTTGGCTCAGGTCATCAACTCACGGTTCGTGGGTTCAAGCCCTGCATCAGGCTCTGCGCAGACAGCTCGGAGCCTGGAGCCTGCTTCGGATTCTGTGTCTCCTTCTCTCTCTCTGCCCATCCCCCACTCGTGCTCTGTCTCCCTTTGTCTCAAAAATAAATAAACATTAAAAAAAAAACTCCTTGAAAAAAAAATTTAGTACTCTTAGTCCTCTCCCTTTCATCCTCTCAAACCTCCCATCTGGCTTTCACCTATTTTTATTTTTCAGTATTTATTTTGAGAAGGAGGGAGAGCACGCACATGTGTGCACGTAAGCAGGGCAGGGGCAGAGAGAATCCCAAGCAGGCTCCGTGCTGTCAGCAGAGCCAGATGCAGGGTTCGATCCCATGAACCATGAAACCACGACCTGAGCTGAACTCAAGAGTCAGAAGCTCAACCGACTGAGCCACCCAGGCATCCCTATTTTCAAGTAAACTCTATGCCACACGTGGGACTCGAACTCATAACCCTAAGATCAAGAGTCACATGCTCTACTGAATGAGCCAGCCAGGTGCCCCCTCCCCATTCTTAACAAGGTCTCTCTAGCCAAGCCTTCCAAATTAGTGGCCAAAAAGCTCAAGGTAGTCCATTTTAGGTATATCTGCGGTAATGGTCTGCTTCTAGATTTTGCTAGATAATAAACCCAAAAGTGACTTTGAAGGAGTATTTGCTCCCAGGCTTCCCAGACTCTCTAGTCTGTGGGGAGAAGCCATTTCTAGACCAGGTAAAAGCAAGGCAGGGCCCAGGGATTTAGCTGGTCTCCTCACTCCACTGCAATAAAATTCCAGAAAGAAAACAGAACATGATTAGGATTTCACTCAAGAATGTGTCTTTATTGAAGAATTTGTAAGAAAAAAGGATGGACCCTCTGTAAAAAGAGGAGATGTTGCCTCCAACCAGCAGGGAGGAATGAGACCTGGGTGGCTTCCCAGAAGTCAGTGTTTCCAGCATGGCTCCCCTTTCCTGGCAAGCACTAGAGTGTGTCACACCATGACTAGTAATTCCTGTCCATCCCTATCAGCCTCTCCTCCCCCGTCCCACAACCCTGGATTCCCTACAGCCATTTACCAATGGCTTTCTGAAGGCCCAGGAATAGATGTGGGGTAGGCTTGCCTCTTTAATGGGATCAAAATGGGTTTTGCTTTGGAAAATTCAAACAGGAATGTAAAACAGTTGAGCTCTTTCTAGTCCAACCAGAGATGACTGCATCCAACCCCTCTGAAGGGAGAGGGAGCAAAGAGTTTCCCTCCTGAATGTGCACACTTGTGGGGTAAACGGACTAGATTGCAGTCTGCTCTTTATTAGCATGGAGAATGGAAACAGAAAAATATGCAACAACCATGTTAAAAGAGTCACTGAGTTCTAGAGGGCAGAGGGAGCTGAGGCTTCTGATTCCAACAAGTGCTCCTTCCTGTTAGCTACCCTGAAGTCCTGGGGATGGTCACTCCTCTCCAGCTGGGAGATTGTCCTCAATCCGCCTGATGAACCTCATCCGGATTTCTGTCACACCGTCTCCTTTCAGGGTGTCCTGGACAAACTTGGCCTCCACAGCCATCTGGACCTGGGGGACAGTGGGAAAATGAAGGGGCGGGTGCCTAGTTGCAGCCTCTGGGGAACCACAGGGGACAGGCTGTAGCTGACTCATCCATGGCAGTCCCAACAAGGGGGCTGGTTTCTCGCAAGGACAGGATTGCCAGTTCATGTCCCCTGTAGAAAGCAGTGACCCCGATCTGTAAGGCTGACTTAACAAAGAGCACCCACAAATGAGACCTTTACCCAAATAAGCCAATCTGGGAATTTCCTGGGCTTTGGGGGCTGACAGCACTACTATCAGCAAGAATCATCACCATGTAGAAACATCCACCTTGGATCCTATGCTCAGCAGCGTCACATCTCAGGTAGCAAAGTGCTGAGGGGAGCCAAAGGCCTTTCTTTTCTCTCCTTCTCTCATTCCTTCAAACCTTTATCAAGCCCCTACTACATTTCAGGTGTCCCAGGAGGTAAAGAGCCGCACTCACCATTTCCAAGGCTCCCCGTAACACCCCACACAAGAGATTGGAATAAATAAGGGATGAGTGGTTATCAGGAAGTTCCACAAAGTCCACCAAGGGATTATTTTCCAAAATGAGGGAGAATTCGTCACCAGCTGGGCTCCAATTGGTGATGCTTGGAGTGATGCCCAAGTACATCTTGAACGCCACCTGTCAGGAACACATGACAGCACTATGTGGAAGAGGAGTAGGGGCCGCACACCAGGGAAGGTGATGGGACTGGCAAAGGAGAACTAAGGGGCTTGGGAACAAAACTGTGGCCTTTGCAAAACACTGGAGCTTTAGGCATTCAGGGCAAAAAAGACAAAGCATCTGTGCACAATTCCACACCCCGCTCCTTCAAGGCGTCATACAATTAGGCAACTTGCTGCCCACCTACACTTCTTCTGACGGGGTGGCTTCTCGGAACCAGCACATGAGAGGCCCGGTCCACTTCCTCGTCCTCTGTGCTACCTGAATCCTTCTTGAAAGCAACTATGAGTCACTGTGGCAGAATTATTCTGAAGACATCCTTCCCTCTATCCACCCTCCTGATTCCAAACCCTCACACTGTCTCTTCACTATCAGCTCTCTGTAGGATTGGGGCCGGCATGCTCTACAACAGAAAGAACCAACCTTTAGGCAACGGACGCCACAAAGCTAAAGGCGTTTTATCATTTATTATTAATTCTACCATACGTAATGTTAATATTATCAATAGTGACCATTTACTATAAGCACACTAAGTTAAGTGTATTCGTTTTAATTGAATGCTCATGCTCATTATTTCCTTTACTTCTTACAATCACTCTGTGAGGCAGCTCTTATTTTCCTTTTTTAAAGATGAGGTAAGTGATAATTAAAAGGTTAAAAGCAACTTACCCTTAACTGGTAAGTACTGGAGCCAGAATTTGAAGCCAGGTTTGTCTGAATCCAAAGTCTGTATTCTTAACCCCCAGGCTGCTCTGCTACGTCTTCACAGTCAAGGAGACCTGGCTTTGACTTCAGTGGGGCTTTCACCCACACAGATGATCCCAACCACTCTTCCCTTTTCATAATCTGTGCTATTCCCAAACCACCAGGAAGACTCCTTTGACCAGACAGCTGCCTAACTAGTATTTTGGAATACTAAGGGCCTCTCTAAGGGAGATGGAGAGTGTGGTAAGCAGTGCCTCCCAATGACATCCCTCAGCACAACAAGGTGGCCCAGGATAATGACCTTGGCGATGACGTCTGCAGTTTCCCGAAAGTCGTGGCACCTTCCAACATTTGACCGTGCCAAGAAATCTTCTATCAGTCGGACTCCAATGTTATAGCCCCTGGGAAGAAAATAAGAGAACATACTGTATTATGGAGTGTGAATGTCTTACGTCTGAACATAAGGCTGCTGGTGGTAAAGGGAAAATAGGGGACAATTCCAAAACATCTCAATACATGAGCTCAGTGGAAACTGTATCCAAAATATTGGTTACAAAAGAGAATCCTGTTCTGGGCTCTAAAGGACCATGCGGATTGTGCACTAGGGAACCCCATTCTTGTCCCTCCCGCAGAGGAGCTCACTCACATTTTATCCAGCTGTTTATTCACATCTTCATCATTTTCATAGTCCTTGCATAGCTGGGTGACCAGGGCCCCATAGGTAAGGGTGAAAAGCTCGGAGCTCTAAAAGACATTCAAAAGACAGTCAGAACCAAGATACACAAAAAACAAAGTTTAGTGAGTCTAGATCAACCTCAATGCAGCTGTCAGGATTCAAAGGAAGGTCATCTGTGTATGGTGAGAAAGAATATCCTCCTCTATGGAGTGCCAACGAGTGTGGCTCCCCAGGGTCAAGGTGGCAGGGCTTCAGCCAGACCTACTACAGAACAGGTTGTAGAAGGCACTTCATGCATAGAGGAGTCACTCTTCCAACATATCAAGGTGGGTTTCTGCTAACCCAGGACCCCACCACAACCGCCAAGCTAAGCTTGGGTCACCAGAATCTGGGGTGGGAGCAGCAGTCATCCACTAGATACCATGAAAGACAGACCTGAAACAGACAGTTACAGATTAGCTTCTGTATGTTAGCAGGTGTGACCAATGGCTTCTCTACACCTAAGACTGTCTGGGGTGTCCTGGCCTCAACTCCCTCCCAGCGCCCCACCCAGGAGCAGCAAGGACCCAGGGGCCTTGTCTGTGGGGAGGAAAGGAAGTCCTAGACAAAGTCCGCTGCTCTGATAATCCCCCTCCTAAGTCACCAAAATAAGGAAAAATAATGTTCCTCTTGACACAGAGCGAAAATGTTTCCAGGAATGGGGTCACTCTGAAAGGAGTCCAATCTTTTGTGTACCTGGAACACAACCCTGATCTGGACTGGTTTCTACTACAACTATAGTTAACATCACAGAATGCCTGTCTCAGGTAAAGACTCCTGTCACCTACCTACCAAGAAACAGAGATGTGGAAGGGGAAAGGATGACAAATGCCATGACTACAGAATGAAAGCAGGAGGTCAGGAGCTAAACACAGTGAAGAACATGCTAACAGCACATCTGGAGCAATGGATCCACACAGAAGGCAGGCTGAAAGATCAAGTCAGCCACCCAACCGCTCCCTTCTGAGTGGAAGCTCGTCAGACTTGGGGCAGAGCACCTTTCTGTCCTCAAGTCTTCTGGGGAAGAAAGTCCAAGTAATGTTAAGGCCCAGGCTCTCAGGACCTCAGTGCTCCTCACCTCGTCCCCCTGGCCTGGTGCTGAGGTCACTGCAAGAATGATAATGTGAGCCTTCTGCTCACATACTGCCTTCTACTTTTCATAGTCTCATTTTCCACCCCACCACAATTCTGTAAGGCAAAAAGGGCAGGGATTAATCTCATTTCAGAGATGAGGAAAACTGAGACTCAGAATGATTAAGTAATCTGCCCAAAGACAAACAGCTAATTATTGACAAAAGTAATTTTGGGAGACAAAAAACAAGAGTTTCTAAGCCAATATTCACGCTACCCACTGTTCCCCATAAGTTCAATATTAATAGCCCCCCTAAAAAATAACAAAAAACTTACCTGCACTAGAGAGTCACAGAATCAGTTTCAGAACCAGGAAGCTTTTTGAACTAAACTAAAACAGTCAGATCAGGGTGCCTCCAAGAGACCATTTACCAAATATGGCAATTAAGGGGAAGCTATTAAGGAGGCCAATGATTTTTTAGTAAAGTTACGGGTTTGGCACTAGAATGGCTTGGACATGAATGGATGGAGACAATCCAGCAGTTACCAGTCTATCGAGTTGGCACCACTACATTAAATCAGGAGAGCTTTCCTTCCATTATTAATGAGCCTTTGGATAGAGACTCCAATGGCCTCAGCCCACCATAATGCCGAGTAACATGCGCATCACAATGTTATCAAGCACCTTATACACGCAGCAGCCCCCAATTTACCAATAAAAAAAATCAAGGTTCTAAACACATCTGTCCATGGTCACAGAATCAATATGCCTGGGATTTGGGAATGAGATTCTGACCCAGGTTCTCCACATTCTCTCTTAATTTGCAATTCTGTCTCCATCTCTGATTATGAACCAAGCCCACTTGAACAGTGTGCAATGTAAATACATCACTTAAAGGTCTTCATACTTTAAAAATAGGAGTGGAGCTGTGGCACAGAAAAAAGTCATCCATTCAATGTCTACTATGTACCAGAGATTATCTAATAGGAGGGTGATACATAATAAATTGAATAAAATATATGGTTTGCCAGATGATGATAAGAGCTATGGACAAAAAGCCAGCAAAGGATACACACACGCAGAGAGGGAGAGAGGGAGAGGGAGAGAGGGAGAGGGAGAGAGGGAGAGGGAGACAGAGAGAGGGAGACAGAGAGAGAGAGAGAGAAGAGGGGAGGGAGAGAGAAAGAGGTGTCAATTTTAAATAGGATAGTCAGAGAAGGCCTAGTAAGGTGATATTTGTGCAAAGACCTGAAGGAAGTAAGGATATGCCATGAAGAAACCTGGGTGAAAAGATTGTAGGAAGCAAGTGCAAAGACACTGACATGGGAGTATGTCTGCCATGTTTGAGAAACAGCTAAGAGACCAATGTGATTTGACAGGAATGAATAAAAGAGAAAACAGAAGAGGAAGACAGGTTACTGCTGACCTGGGTTTTCAGTCCTTGTGACCCTTACGACAAAAGGTTTCATGGGACCTTAAAGGTCAGCTAATGGGGCGCCTGGGTGGCGCAGTCGGTTAAGCGTCCGACTTCAGCCAGGTCACGATCCTGCGGTCTGTGAGTTCGAGCCCCGCGTCAGGCTCTGGGCTGATGGCTCAGAGCCCGGAGCCTGTTTCCGATTCTGTGTCTCCCTCTCTCTCTGCCCCTCCCCCGTTCATGCTCTGTCTCTCTCTGTCCCAAAAATAAATAAACGTTGAAAAAAAAAAATTTAAAAAAAAAAAAAAAAGGTCAGCTAATTCAATTGATCCAATTTCTTCATTGAACATAATAACCACATTCTCCTTCCCAACAAAAACATGAATCTCTTCTGCAACATTTTTAAGTGCTTGAATTATGTTTAGTAATAATGGCCATTTACATTTATAAAATCTTCAGAATGCCTTTCATTAATCCTAGTAACAACCATGAGTTTAGCAAACATCATCCATCCCCATTTTATAGGTGACAGGTTAAGTAACTGAGATTCAGTTTTCTTAATAGTTGAGCACTGCCCTGTAAAAAGTTATGTGATCGAAGCCATCACTTAGTATTTTGGAACATCAGTTTTTTTCACATCTGTACAATGGTGACAATACTATCTGCCCTTGAGGGCTGCAATGAGATATATATAGGGCACCTGCTGCATAGTACCTACACAAGAAGTACAGTACCTACAAAAGAAGTAGATGCTGTTATTTTTTATTCTTAAACTAGTTATCTGTAGTGTGCTGTCAGAGAGTACCCTGAATTGGTTTAAGGAGGGAGATTTTTGAATCAATATAAAGAACTTTGTAATAACGAATAAGGCAAATAGAAAGAACAATGGGTTTATGGGGCACCTGGGTGGCTCAGTCAGTTAAACCTCTGACTCTTGGTTTTGGCTCAGGTCATGATCTCGTGGTTGGTAAGTTCGAGCCCTGCATTGAGCTCTGTGCTGACAGTGCAGAGCCTGCTTGGGATTCTCTCTCTCCCCTTCTCTCTCTGCCCCTTTCCTGCTCATGCTCTCCCTCCCTCTGTCTCTCTCTCTCTCAAGATAAATAAACTTTAAAAAATTAAAAAGAAAGAAAGAAAGAAAGAAAGAAAAGGAAAGAAAGAAGAGGAAAGAAAGAAAAGGAAAGAAAGAAAGAAAGAAAGAAAGAAAGAAAGGAAGGAAGGAAGGAAGGAAGGAAGGAAGGAAGAATGAATACTGGGTTTGTAGTCAGAAGACCTGATTCTGAGTCTGGACTGCCACTTACTAGCTGTGGGATTTTAGGTAAGTCACTTTACTTTGCTAAATCTCAATCCCCTCACACAAACATGGGTAACAGTAAAATCTGTCATGCTGGAGGATCTAATGAGATAACAGACTTTAAATGCTTTGCAGACCAAGAAACCACAGAATAGCCAATACGATCTCCAAGTACTATAGGCACAACCTGAGCAGAGCAAGTAAAGCCAAGCCCTACTTCAGGTGAGCTACTGTACTTGATGGTTTTCAAAGCCTTTTCAGTTAGTGCCCCAGACAAACAAATCTTCCTAGGGGGGCCAATCTTTGGAGCTAATGCTCCAAGAGTCACATTTACTATTTTTATCAACACAAATAATTCAGTGTGACTTCCCCAAGCAGCTGGGAATGAAGGTCAGTAACAGGAGGGAGTTGATCCCTCTCTCTTACCCTCCGGCCTCCTGTATGGAGATTCTGAGTGCTGCCACTGAAGTAGTAACCCACCTGAGCACTGGACAATACAGCCACTGGGGTTGGGTTACTAGTAACACAACACAAAATAAAGTTGGGTTTGACTGTCCATGGAATTCAAGAACCAAACACTGTACAGACACATAAAGGCTAATATCTGTACAAACAAGGATGCTTGCTAGCTGACATTTACCGAGTGCCAACTGTGTTGAGGGGACTGTCACACTGCTAGCTTTTCATGCATGATGTCAATTAATGCTCAGAACAACCCCATGACAGATACTATTACTACCCTTTCGAATCTATTTTTTAAAGATGGTGAAACTGATGCTTACAACAATGAAGGTCACACAGCAAGTAAGCAGTTAGGCCAGGACAGTACTACACCCCTGTGTTGTATACTTTTCTGCCTCTCTCATAGCATGTGCTTCTCAAGGTCAGGGACTAGGACTGCATCTCTGCACTTCTCCCAACACCTAGCACAGAGCTACCCATATAGTTAGGGCTCAGGAAAAGTTTGCCAGATACATGGGCTGTTTCTGCTCGCACAGACTAAAAGCAGAGGTCTAGTTCTTTGGGTATATTAATCATTTAAGTCTTGGAGGGTTTAAGTGGGAACACAGTAATTAGCAGAACGTTGGGCCAACTGGGAAGAGGGATGCTAGAGGGAGAGACCTCCCCAGGAGGAGAGGAGCATACCAAAACCAGGTGGCCAGCAAGAGGATCATGTGACAGGCCCTTAACTAGGCAGCAGCAGGAAATGAATGAGAGGGTGCCCCAAACCTTCATGTCATTCATTCACTAAATATTGATTCCCTAGAGCCAAGCATCATCCCAGATGCTGGGAATAGAGCAATGGACAAAACAAATCTCTGCTCTGGTGGTTACATTTTCATGGGGAAGACTGAAAAGAAACAAGTATATAATTTATAATGGAATAGTGCCATGAAGAAAAACAGAGTACAGTAAGAGGACAGAAAACTAGTCAGGTAGTCAGGGAAGGTCTCTTCAGAGGAGGTGACATTTGAGTAACTGCGAATGAAGTAGGGAGTAGCTACATGAGGGTTAGGGTTACTCATTGGGGGAAGGAAGTTCTAAGCAGAGACACTAGCAGTTGCAAAAGCCTTGAGGCGGGAGTGTGCTGCTCCCCTCCCTAATTCTCCCCTCACCAAAGCAGAATGAACACGGAGGGGGTTGCTGCTGGTGTTAAGGGTGGAACCTGGAGGTTCCTGTTTAAAATGGTATTAAAAGGGTACCTGGGTGGTTCAGTCAGCATGGAGCCTGCTTTAGAATTTGTCTCCCTCTCTCTCAATATTTAAATATAAACAAATAAATGAAATGGTATTAAATATTTCAATAGGGATTTCAGGTTTAAAAAAAAGTACAAAACAAAACTAAGATGTGAAAACTAAGCATCTCCTCATATCTTAGGAAAAGAGGAAACAAACATTTACCATGTCCCATACATTGTACACTGTTATCTCACTTAATCTTAAGTAGGCATCATTGTCCCCAATTTATAAATAAGGAAATTGAGGATCAAACAAGACTTGAAAATTCCAACAATGTCCATGCTTCTTCCCCTACATGACAGTTTCCTAGTAAAATATACTTTTTTTCTTTTTAAGTCCTTGATATTTTCTCCAAAACAGGAATTCTTAACCTGTGATCCATGGAGGATCTTCAGGGACCCACAAATCCCCCCAAAATGTAAACAAGTGTCCATGTACATGTCTGTCAATTTAACATTTCTGGGGAGGGGCACCTGGGTGGCTCAGTTGGTTAAGTGTCTGACTCTTGGTTTCAGCTCAGGTCATGATCTCATGGTTTGTGAGTTCGAGCCCCGTGTAGAGCTCTGTGCCATTAGAGATTCTCTCTCCTTCTCTCTCTGCCCCTACCCTGCCCGTACTCTTTCGCTCAAAATAAATAAATAAACTTAAAAAAAAAAAAATCTGGGGAGGAGATCCATTGGTATCAGCAGCTTCTCAAAAGGGGTCTGAAAAAAAAAGTTAGGTACTACTTTAGAGTGTTAGGGCCTCCTGTGGCCCATTTTTGGTGGCTGTTCCTAGTGTAAGATGCCAAGGTATAAGGATGTTTAATCACCCCGCTAGAGCTGAGTGTCAACAAAAGGCCCCTGATTGAGTTTCCAAATCGGGAAAGAAAGATAGCATGGGCAATTCTGGAGGTAAGAATATGGCAAAGAAAAACACCTGGCAAGAGGTCCCCTTAATTTGGAGGAAAGCGTCATCTACCTTACTTTCCAGGTCAGGCTGCCACCTGCAACCAAACTTTACCAGACTACATGGTGTCCCACTATTCCCAGGGCAAGAAAGGAGTCCCCCCGCCCCCCGCCAGAGAGGTACCACTTACTGCCACCCTGCCTACTCCTCCAAATAAAAGTTCCTTTCTGGCAGGATCAGTATCGGAGCATCTCTTACAATCCCCAGAGCACAGTGTGAGAGACAGTAGGGCCTAGTAGTCTGAAACTTGGAAGTTCTACAGAGACATGAGTTCAAATCCCAATTCTTCCTAGATGTAAATTTGGGGAAGTTATGTAACCTCTCGGAGCTGTAAAACTGCGGTAACATTATCTACCTGAGAGAGTTACTTAGCGAATTAAATGACACCGTGTACGTAAAGTGCCTGGCTCCGTGCCTAACACACAGTAAGAGAGCAATAGTGGTAGTTACTATTACCGTCGTCGCTGTTGGTCTAGCACACGGCGGCTCTCAGGCGTCGGGGGAGGGATCTCTGAGCTACTCCAGCGGCCCTGCAACCTGCTTCAGGCCCGGTACGTCCCCGGCGTGACTCTCCCCTCCAGGCCCACAGGCAGCCCCCTCCTCCTTCCTTCCTGCGAAAGCACTTTGCGCTCATAGGAGGCCCTTTTCCAATTGCGCCCCGCGCCGGGCCCCTTCCCCAGAACGCCTCCATTCCGCCCCGCTCGCCGAGGTCACGCGCTCCGAGTTACCATTTTCTTGCTCTCGGTGCCACGGTTCGCCTGCCTAGACATGGTGCCGGCCGCCGGACCCCGCCTCGCCACAGACCTGCTCGGCGACCCCTCTGGACACCGCTCCACCCAGCCGCGTCCCCTCAGCCTTCGGGACTGACCGGCACCAACTCACCGCGCCTGCGCGGCCTACCGCAGGGCACCACGGGACTCGTGGTCCGGCGGATGAGGATAATTCCCGCCCGGTAAACGTCAGACTACAACACCCAACCGCTCCGTTGGCAGCCCCGCTGGACTACAAGTCCCAGAGTGCTTCGCGCGGCTGACTCGCTTATAGAGCCTGGCTCCCCGAGGGCTACATTATAGCCGCTGGGTGGCGTCCGGCGCTTGCGGGAATCGTGTGTAGTCCACACACTTCCCTTCCGCCCACCCCCTCACCCTCACAGATGCTCCGCAAATTCCTCTCTTGTTGGGTTGGTCTTGGAAAGTCCCCCTTTCGAACTAGCTTGTTCCGCTCTTGCTGCAATTCAGAGCCAGAAGCTCCCAGGATGTCCCAGAAAACTAGCTACGGCTCATACACAAATCTGGCTTCTTACTGCAAAAATATTTAATGAGAACCTATGTGCCAAGCATTTCACTAGTGGTTTTTTTCAAACTGTCATTTGTTCCCAAACTCCAAAAGCAGCCAGTACCTGCATCCTACCACTGTGGCCTCATGATGGAATATCCAGTCTGTTTGCTAAAATTCAGGTCACTTTGTCTCCCTCCCCTTCCCCAAGAACTACACTGCCTGGTCCCTGGAAAAGAAAAATCGCCAGCGTTGGTAGCAGCCAGTCCCAGATTTTAATCTCAGCTTTGCCATTTTAGGCAAGTTGCTGGATCTCTTTCAGTTGTTGTGGAGATTGGTGAGACACAAGTGCAGAGCACTTGGTCACAAAATAAATGTGCATTCCCTTTCTTCCAGACACTCTCTAAAAACAGCCAACAGGTCCCAGAAACACCAGGGGAATGTGCTGGCCACACCCTCACCATCACCAAGGGAAGTCCTACAGTCCCTGACCGTAGCTCTTCGGTTTCAGCTCCAGCCATCCCCTCTGGCCGGTCAGTTGTAAGCAGGCTGGCCTGGGAGTCCCTGAGCACCCTCTCCTCACTTAAGCCTGGTAGCCTGACTCTGTAAGCAGCTGCATTCTAGCCCCTAGCCTTCACCATGACAACCAGCCCGCCCAGACGTGAGCCAGCCCGGCTGGGGAAGACTGGGGGGGGCCCAGGCTGCTCCGGCTAAAGGCCAGTTCCCAAGATTCTCCCAGTCTCTCCCTCAGGGTGCAGGACCAATCCTTATTATACCCTTCTCCCTGTGACAAAGACATTCTGGGGCCTCCCTAGAGGCAGTGACCTTTGACTCTCCCTCCTGTGTCAGTGCCTTGGCTGAGAGTTCTGGGAAGGAACTGGAGGGCTGGGCTGTGGCAGGGGAGGAGGCAGGGGGTCAGCTAGCCCCCAGCGGCCAGCGCAGCCAGGGAAGAACCTCTTGCATTCCCAGGAGAGAGGACAGCTGAGGTGAAAGCTGCAGTTGGCTGGTCTGTCTGTCGGTCTGGGCTCCTCCCTGCCGGCTGCCCTTGGCTGCCCACAGAAACCTGAGTCACAGTCACGGCCAGCCGCCCCACCCCACCCAGCCTGCTGTCAGGCAGGGTGGTTCTGGAGAAGCTGAAGGCGGAGCCTTTCCCTGCCCATCTTATGACCTCTGAGATTCTTCTTCTGCCTGTGATTGCTCCTTTTGGTGTCTTTTTCTCTGGAACTCCTCCTTCCAGTGCCACAAGTCCTGAATTAAGGATGGGGGAGGGGGCCATTTTAAGCTGATTTATAGGGTCTCCTCCCTCACTCAGATGTGAACCTAAACCTCCTTAGACAGCTGCTCCAAGGGCTCTCGGTACAGCTCCCATCATTCCCAAATCCCAATCCTTCTCAACCACTGCTCAGGGCCAGACATCTCAGAACACTAGGCACCTACTCCTCACCCTTGTCTCCTTCTTCCTAGAAAAGAATGTAACAGGGACAGCTTCCCATTCCTAGCAGGGGCTCTAGGCAAAGACCCTTCCCAGGAATCCCAAACAGTGAGCCTGTTCGGTCCTGTATCTGAGTTCCTCCCCCTCCAGTCAGTCCCTGTCCCTTCCTGTCTCCAAGCTGGTGGGAGGGAGGCCTTATTGTCACTGGTGTCACCACTGCCCTTGAGGACATTCCCCACCCTCAGCCTCGAGGAGTGGGCCTGGAGGGCTCCCCAGGAGAGCGGGTATGGGTCTCTAACCCATTCACCATGCTGTGCCTTGGGGTGGGGTGGGAGTGAGAGTCTGGTGTCTGTTCTCTCTGCTGCCCCCAGTATGAGGCCCCTCCCACTTCCTATTTTGTGAGTGTGGAGGCAGCCTCCTGGGCCTTCCTCCTGATTCATATCTCTGTGTCAAATCTCCCAGTGATTTCCTTCACCCCTCCATCAGGTTCGTCCTGGACCCTGCCCCACCAAACCCAGGAGGTTGTAAATGCTCTTGCTCCTGCCCTCCCCCTGGGGGATCGGGAAGGGGACTTATTTCTGATCCCTGCCCCCTAGCCCAAGCCCAGCCTCGTGGTGAGAGGAACAGCTCATTCGTGCCTGTTTCCGAGGAGGAGGGACTGCCCTGGGTGGTAAGGGAGTCACAGGGGAGCCAACAGAGTTCCTTGCCCCTCACCAAAGCGGGCAAGGCATCCTGTTGGGGCTTCAGTCCTTGATATTTCAAGTATCTCACTTCTTCCTTCTCTGGGATGTCTAATATATGGGGGTAGAGGCACGTGAGGCTCCCAGATGCTGTCAACCAGCCCCAAACTTGGAGAGACACACATACTCTAAACCTTCTCAGTTGCTAGCGCTTGGGACCTGCCAGGGATCCTGATCAGCCAGGGAGTAAATGGAGAGGAGCCCACTCCATCTCTCCATTTGTTTGCTTTGACTTAATCACAGGACACTGGTGCACGCACTCCTGGTTCCCCTTAGCCATCCTCCCAAGACTCATCCTGGACCCATCAGCTGTACAGGAAGCCTTCTGGGGCTGGCTGGGAGAAACGTCCATCAGGTTGGCTAACTCCCAGATGGCCTGCTGGTCCCCACCACTAGCATCTTGTGAGGGGGTACGGGCGCCTCCACCCTCAGTCTAGAGAAGTGTTCCTCTGCGTTGGCACTGTCGACATTTTGGGCCTAATGATGCTTTGTTCTGAGCATTGTAGGATGTTAAACAGCATTTCTGGTGTCTAAGAACTAGATGCCAGTGATACCCCCAGTTCTGACAACCAAAAGTTCCCCTAAATATTGCCAAATGTTCTCTGGGGGACAAAATTGCCTCTGGTTGAGAATGACTGACATAGGCTAATACCACACACTGTCTCTTTGCCATGAGTTCCTCAAAGTCAGTCCCGGATCATTAGACACAATAGAGAATTTCCAGTTCTAAAGCAGTGCTCACCCCTCCCCTTGCAAAGAAACTTTCACGACTCCCCACGATCGTCACCTACATGATGTCAATTGGCATTCAGACCCTCTTATATAGACCATCCCTGGCCTCTCTTTTCATCTTTAGCTACCGTTTATTTCCTCCTCCACTACTCTTGAGGTCTAGCTAATGAAGGTACCTCACTGTTCCCACCCTCACTGAAGACCCAGGTTGTTCATCCTCAAGATCTACCCTAGAGGGCTCTCCCCCTGTTGGGTTCCGTTCATGAATCCTGGCTCAGGGTAGGCCTGTTCAATTCTGGAAGATGCAGGCCCTGAGGCCTCTGACCTCACAAAGAGCAGTCCTGGACTCCATCATCCACATGGTCCCCTCACTTTGCAGATGGGATGGCTGACAACAGAGATCTGCTCCTCCTCCTAGTCTGCTTTTATGCTTAAAACTCCACCACCACCACCATCATCATCATCATCATCATCATCTTTATTTATTGCACACATTTTATATGCCAGGCTCTGTGCTAAGCATCTCATCTGCATTGCCTTATTTAACCTTTACAATGACCCCATGATACCTCATGGTACTATCATTTTCCTGATTTTATAGGCGAGCAGACGGGGTTTCAGAAAAGTTAAGACACTAGCTTAACGTCAGCAGCTCCATTTGCAGGCTTTCCATCATCATCATCATGTTCTAATGATTTGGGGCCAGAGGGAGCACTATTCCCTCCCCCACCCTTCCAAGAGAGTTTATGTCCCCAGCTACTCACTCCTCCTAGTCAGGCTGCTCCCAGGTTGCCTGAGACCCAGACCCTTTTGTCCCTCAAACCCCCTTGAAATGGCTGCTTTCTGGAGCTGTTCAAAGAAGAAGACACTGGCGGGAAAGAGGGGCAGGAGGCTTGCATCTCACTGGACCTAATCTCTGGACAATGGAGAACCAGAGAACTGACCTTCTAGAGGTCAGGACAAAGGGCAGGGAGGGGGTGGCAGGGCTCAGCTGTGCCCTGAGCTGTGCCTCCTCGCCTCCTCCTTCCTCCCCTCTGTCAATCCCTGCAGCACCATCATCGATCCACCTTTCCCAGCAAGCTCCCCCCTCGCTTCTCAGGCTGGCCAGACTTGGCTTGAGGCCCCACCTCCGCTGGCACTAACAAGGGGATTGGGGGATCCACCGCGAAGAGCTTGTGAGCAGGACTATTTGGGGGAGGGGAGTCAGAAGAGGCTTACTGCCTCCTCGACAGGCCACAGGGAAGAAAATCCTTCCGGGGAGATCGGAGGGGTCGCCCGATAGGGGTGGGGGAGGTTCAGGGCCAAGACCACCCAGTTTGGAGCTGGGAGGGACCCAGCAGATTAGAGACCTGAGTAAAGCATTGGTGCAGGCCTGTAATTACCCCTGAGGAGCAGGGAAGACACCAACCATAGGATACTGGAGGAAGGGCAGCAGCAAGGTTCCGGGCCTCTCCCATCCCAGCCATCCCCAGGAGAGAGAAAGCAGAGTCCTTTTAGGGGTCTCCTTGGGACCCTCCTTCAGGTCTCTCTACACCCCCGGGGTGGATTTGGTTTGAGGTGGGGTTGGGGGAGAATTTGGATTTGAAGCTAGCGCCAAGGCCCCGGGGCCCCGGAGCCGGAGCCTCCAGGTTCCAGGGTGGGATTGGGGGCTCCCATGCGCGCTCCCCTCGACTCCCCCCAGTCCTAGCGGCGGGTGAGTCACCGGAGCGCTCCCTACATAGTCTTCTCTCGCTGTGGCGCGTACCAACGCGCGGCCGCAGGGGGAGTCACAGGGACCCGCGTCCTCAGGGAGCCGTGGCGTCCCCTCCGTCACGGCTGCAGGAGAGGCGTCCCCAGCTCGAGGGCCCGCGCTCCAGGGCGGAGGCGGGGCGGGGCGCGCGGGGCGGGCGCGCGGCGGCTCGGTCCCTGGACGCTGAGGCGGAGACCTCCCCGCGTCGTACTTGGTACGCGCCAGCGGGGAGGCCAGGCCCAGCCCCGGCGGTACAATAGGGTTGGGCCGCGGCCGGGACTGGGCCGGCGCCGGGCAGGGAGAGGGATCGCTGCCGGATCCGACAGCCACTGGGCGCCCGGCGACTCCGAGCCTCGCAGGCCACCAGCCGAGCCAGCCCCGACCTTCCCCGGAGCGCCCCCGCCTCCGAGTCTTGCCCGCCGGGCCGGGCCGGGCGTGATGCACCGCGGGACCCCTGTCCTGGCCGCTGGCCGCCGCCGCCGCCGCCGCTGAGACCCCCAAGACCCCCAGTGACGCCGCAGCCATGGAGAGCGGCTCACATGCAGAGCCGGGTGCGGGCGCACCCCCAGGTATGCCGGGATCCACGCACCGGAGAGATGGGGGGGAGGTCGCGGGGCCTCGGGAAGGCCGAGGAGAAGGCCAACCCGCTGGGCGGAGACCCCTCCCCCGCCGCGCCCTCTGACCACTTGGAAGTTTAAAAATAAAGGCTGCAGCGGCGGCGGCTCGGGGCCACCGACGCATCCTCTGACAGCTGCCCCCTCCCCCACTCTGGGCGCTGGGACGCACTGGGCGGCGGGCTCCGCGAGGACCCCGCGCCCGAGTTGCTGGAGAGACCCTTCTGCCCCGACCCAGTGCCACCTCGGTTTCTCCTCCTGCACCCCCTCCCCGACCCACCCCAGGCCCTGATGATCCTTTTCAATTGAGCTGGGACGTCTATCCCCCACTTCATCCCAGGTGGGGAAGTGTGACCCCAGCCTGAATGTGTGTGTTGGGGGTCCAGATTCTCAGGCCTGGAGCCCTGCATACCGAAACTTAGGCCCTGGCGCCCCGCGACGCCCAGGCCCTGGCCCAGACCTCGCCCCCACCCCATCCCTCCAGCTGCCGCGCAAAGGGCCTGTTGCTGCTGCGGGCCGGCCGGGAGTGGAGGGGAGGGCAGGGGGAGGTCTCTAGCTGCGGCTGCCAAGTAACCCGCCGGATAAAGACGAGGGGGAGGGGGAGGCGGCATTGTTTGGGGCGAGGGCGGGAGCTGGGAGGTGGGCCGCCTCCTCTGCAGCCTGGCCTACTCCGGAGCCCACCCAGCCCGATTTGGGGAGGAAGGGGACAGAAGTAAATCTGCGTATCCGGCCACCCTCCTTCCTACCCTCTTTAGGCCTGAGTCTCTCTCGAGAATGAGGTGAAGGCTCAAGGCCGCACTCCCGGGACCTGCCACATCATTCCTCACTCAGCCTGAGGCTCTGGATGCCTACCCCCGCCCCCCTACACACACTCCAGGCCCCAGACCATCAAAGCTACCCTCCCCTCCCCTCACCCCACCAACCACCAGTGCCCTGGACTTCTGCAAATCCCATTCGGATCTGGGAGCAGCTGATGAGGGGGTGGGGACAGGTTTCTGGTTGGGCCTGGTGTCGGAGGGAGGGATTTCTCTTTCTCTTTCTTCCTGGAAGGGGAGGGAAGAACATGATTACTGAGGACCCAAGTTCCGTTCCCACTGACTCAGGGGGGAGGCGGCCCCAAACTCACACCTCCATAGAGTCCTAGAGCCTAATCCCTGCCACCTCCCTGACCCCTGCGGCGTAGGCCCAGCATGAAACAGTGTCTGTGGGTGCGGAGAGCCCAAGAGGAGGCGGCACAGCTTGGCTGTGGGTGGGCTCCTCCCCATGCCAGCGTGGGTGCTTCCAGGGGACTGTGTGGGTGTGGGAGCTGGAAGGCGCAGGTGGGGGAGGGGGCTATCAGACTGTTGTGGTCGAGGAGGTTTGTAGCCTGTGCTGGAACAGTGGCACTTGGGTCAGTCTTGTCTCTCCTGAGCCTGAGAGGGGACACCCAGGGAGTCCTAGACTGGATCCATTTCATCTGCTTATTGGCTGTCTGCATCAGAGGGGCGCAGGCACTGATGTGTACATTGGGGCCTGAATGGGCCTGATTACTGGGCTGCAGATGAGGGCCTGAGTGAGTGTCTAGTTTAGAATTAGGGCACTTGGGTGGGATGCCAGGACTGAATATGAGGGCATGGAGGGGGACATGCTTGGCTATACCGCCGGGCCTGAGGGGGCCTGCATGCAGGGTCCTGGGTTGGGAAGACTCTTCTATACACAGGACCTAGACAGAGTCACAGGAGAACCTAGATCAGGCTGGTGGCTGATCCCTACACACAGAGAAGGTGAAGGTGACAGGAACCCCCTATAAGCCAAGGGCACTAAAGGTGGTGCCCGTGGCACGTACCCTGTCAAGTTTGAGGCATGGGGCTGCGACACTGAATGCACATGGCACGATCCCAGCCATCTTTGAGTGCCCTTTGCACCCTGAGCATTACTAGGAGGCAACATGGCGTAGGGGACAGGTGCGGACTGGAGCAAGTGACTTGCCTCCTCCAGCCACAGTTTATGCCCCTGGAAAATGGAGGTCATGTTATCAAACCTTGTGGGGTTAATGTGAGGGTTAGAGATGATGTACTAAAGGCACCTGGCACAGAGACGCCCGCAATACAGTATTATTACCATTATTGTGGTTATGCTCATCAGAACTGGTGCCAACAGGGAGGTACAAAATATGGGGGAGGTGAGGACAGGAATTGGGAGCTGGTTTGCTTAAGAATGTAGACTCTGGAATCAAACAGTTTAAGTTTCCCCTTCATTACTTACTGCTGTGCGGCCTCAGGTAAGTTGCTTAACCCGAGTCTTAAATTTTCCCATCTATAAAATGAGAATAGCGCCAGAAATTATCTCATGGAGATATTGGCATCATTAAATCAGATGAACACATGACACACTTAGCCCTGGCACATAGTTAGTGCTCAATAAACTCTAACTATTTGTTTCTTTTGTTTATTGTCTTTAATTCCTTTGGAGGCCTGAGGAGGAGGTGTGATTAATTAGAATTTCAGGAGGTCAGTATGGGACAGAGGGCCAGGGAGAGGGGAGTTCTAGATACACACGAGCCAGGGTGTATCGGGGGGACAGAGGGGCCCCTGTGCTTGAGGTAGGGCAGTGGAAGCAGGAGAGAGACCCAGGAGGTGCGTGCAGACAGTCATCCAGCACAACATAGTGATGCCTGCCATGTGCTGGCTATGCAGGTGGGAGAGAAGTGAATCAGACAGAGTCACTAGCCTCTGGGAGCTCCTGACCCAGTGACGGAAGGCGATGTGTTCACTGTAGGGGAACCCAGGTATAAGGGTGATACAGTGGTCAGTGGGCTCTACTTGTGGAAGGCTTCACAGAGGAGGAGGCATTTGAAGTGGACCTAAAAGGATGAGTAGAAGTTAGCGAGACTGACAACAATGAGCTGTCTCTACATATAGCAGCCAGCCTAGCTGGTGCCTCTCACTGACAGCTTCGTCCCTGCTTGGGCCACTGGGCCCAGTAAATGAGGCCTCTAATGAGCCCCTAATGTGCAGTCACGCATATGCAAACGAGGAGGAAGGGGCATCAGGCCAGTTTACTCCCCCTTTCCCTCAGGATGGGCATCAGCTGTTGGTGGGGCAGGGCCGAGGGAGGGGGAATGAGCTGAAAGCAGGGCCCTGACTGGAGTGGCGGCACTTGAGAGCGGCCAGGGCTGGTCTCGGGTCTACCAAGGCTGGAAGTTAGGCCGCAAGCAGCAGGGAGCCATGTCCTTGGTTCCCCACTGGGCCTTGGGACAAGTGAGGGAGCCAAGGAGCCAGGCCCAGATAATGCAGCTTTGTTGGCTGTGGTAGCGCTGCCTGGCACCCCGGGGCACAGCCTTCAGCATCTCCTCCACCACCCCTCAGCTGCAGCTCTGCCCTGAGTGGAGCAGAGAGCATGGTAGGGGGTAGATAGCGTGGTATTGCTACCTCCATCAGTGCTCCTCACCAATAGGAGGAGATTCAGGCTCTTACGAAGGATAAGTCCAACTTATCTCCAGCCTCCTATTTATTAAGGGCCTTCTCTGTGCCAGGCATGATGCTTTGCCTGTCATGTGCATTGTCTCATTTGATCCTCAAAACAATCCTTGAGTAGGGCCTAATGTTATCCTCCTTTTACAGATGAGGATCAGAGAGGAAACTCACTTGCCCAAAGTCCCACAGCTAGGAACTGACAGAGGCAGGATTTGAACCCAGGTCCATCTGGCTCTAAAGCCTCTGCACCAAACCTCAAGACTGAACTACCGTGGCTGAGCCAGCCAGTGATAGAGTCTGACATGCTTCCCTTGCATGACTGATCTTGGCATCTTGGCATCTTGGTCTTAGGGACCCCATGATCCATTCTCTGGCAGGCATAGTAGAGCCAGCAGAGCCCTGGGTCCCCTGTGCATCTTGCCCGGTTGGAGTCTGAGTAAGTCAGCTCAGAAGGAGGCCCTGGACCCAGGCAGTGGGGACAGTGCAGCCAGCAGGCCATCCCCAGGCCCCTGCCCTGAGCAGGTAGGCCCCAGCCCGGGCAGCCCTGCTGAGGCTGAGGGAGGACCCGTGGTGGGGCCTGAGCTGCGGGATGGGGTCATTTCCTGCCGCCTAAAATAACAGGAAGTGGGTGCTCCTGATTGGAGGCTGGGAACAATGGCCGCCAACCAGGCCAGAGAGCTCCTTCAGATCTGCGGTCTCAGTTGTGATCCCGGCTTTATCATCCACAGAGGCCCAAGGCCTGGCCCCAGTGCCCTGCCGCTAAGGGCCTGTGGCCCAGGTCCTGAGGACTGCTGGAGCAGGCTGCCCCGTTCTCTGAGCTGGCTCAGCTCTACACTGGCCGGGAGTAATGCTGCCCCCTAAGGGTCCCCTCTGTCCCAGCCCGGCAATTAGGCATCTCGCAGAGTTTGTCCTTCCTGCCTTCCCCTGCCCCATCCTCCCAGATCAGATCTTTCCAGGAGGGGAAACCCAGGGGGCTGTACCCCTTTGAGTGAAGGTACAGACTGTCATGCCGATTCGGGCCCAAATCCCAGCTTTGCTACTCACCAGCTGTGTGATTTAAGCAAGTGTCTTAATCTCTCTGAATCTATTTCTTCATTTGTCAAATGGGGGTAATAACATCTGCTTCGTAGGATTGTGGTAAAGAAGAAAGGGACTGATGCGTTTAAAGTGTTTAGCTGTGCCTGACACAGCATTAGCTATTGCTGGTGTTGACAGGACTTTCCCCTGGCCCGGGTAAAGGAGTGCCCAGAAGGGGCAGGGCAGAAGCGACCTGGAATGGGGCTGTATACGTGCGCCGGGAACACTGTGTCTCTGAGTGCTGTGTGGGTCTCTGAGGCTTCTTCTGTGCCTCAGAGGGATGCCTGGCTCCGTGTGTGTGTCTGTGTGTATCTGTGTGTCTGTCGAGTTCCAAATCCCACTAAGTCTGACTCCTGTGTATATAGAAGAGAGAGAGAGAGAAGGGAGAAAAGAATGTGTTCTGTCTCTCACCATTGTTCAGGC